CTTTGATATCCTTTCTCAATAAAATTTTTTTTGAACATTTCCTCGTTAATGCCTTAATCTGAATAAACAGCTGTTTGCAGTGCATTCTAATTTTCACTAGTTTTCTAGTTGATATCAGTTCGTGTTGAATACCGAGAATCCAATACATCCATACAAATCATGTATTTAAACAAATAAAAATGCGTCGCGTGGACGTAAATCAAGCGTTTTAAACCATTCACTGGATTCTATTACGTTTTCTGAATAGTTTAACGCATGTCTTTTATATAAACCTAACGGTATCAGCATCTACTTTGATAAACTGGACGTCGATGATAATAAGAAATTAGGAGCTACAAGTAAAGATGGCTAGATATATACCTAAATGACTGCTAAAACAAATGGATCCCAATAGTCAAACAGGATCACAAGATAGACAAATAGCTTCCTTCACTGGAAAATATTTTGTTGAGACGGGTTACAGGTTCAAAAGAAAGTCAACCTTTATAGCGTTGTATAAAAAGGTTCAAGGGCGTACACTAAAATTTATTAAAGCCTTGAGTATAGGAAGACTGTAACCCCGTTAATTTGTTCAAAACCAATTTGTTCCTACCCCTGACCTACCCTGGTAATACTGGTTTATTATCCAGTATGACTTTCACATTATGTACTTTATTATCATTATTATTATCTTTATTTACCCTTACGTTTTAGTTTGTCTGGTTGACCTTTTATTTTTCAAATATAATTTTTTAACAAGTCTATGTATGATCAGACTGTTCAACATGTGCCGTGCAAACACACAACATTATTCTGATAACTATCGTCTTCCCATAGAATTATTCATATATATTAGTAAAGCGTCATGATCAGGAACTAGCTTTATTTCTGAACGTCTAAATAGGATTTTCTATTTTACGGAAAAATTTGTTGATAGACTACCGCTATAAATACGGTCGGGCAGTTTTTGACAAATGATATTTTTGAAAATTCTTTCGTTAGAGTATTTTAAAAAATAAGGGGATTAGAATATATCACAAGTCATTTAAAAGTAGGAAAAAATGGTCGATTGAAAGATTTACAGGTCCTGTTTGCAGTAAGCAAATCAGAATGACAAGACAATTATTTGATTTTCTATTTATTCAGTCAATAAGTCATGGAAAACGACAGATTTGGGACAAATCTATTCTAGTTCAAGTTTCCACATTTTAAAAAAGTACAGAGAGAGCAGAAAGTAACAAGATGAGAAGCGTAGAAAGGGAAAAACGTTGAATCTAATGGAAAGTTAAGCTTAATAAATATTCCCCAGAAAGGAATGAAAAGCAAGGAATAATACCGAACTCAATATATAAAATAAAATATAGAATGAGGACAACTTCACCACTGAGGACGATGCAGAAACATGACATTTGATGTCTTCAGCAATACAGTGAGAATCTCAAGAATCTCAATTCAGAAGTCTACACTAACTAATTAGTTTGAAACCAAACAATGATTGCCCCCAAATGCCCTGGTACGGCCGAGAGTGTGGAGAGTCCGCTCTCCCTCTCGAAATGCTCTCACATGGCCATGCGTATATAGCCTCTGCCAGGGAAGTCCTACTCACTGCCTTCTCGTGGCGGGGGTGTTGTTTACAAAAATGAGAGGACGAAAAGCGAATGTCTGGCGCTTTAACCGGACCCCGAACCAATGGTGCACATGGGCTCCAGTATCCTGCGGGGACAAATGGCGTATGAACCAATCGTTGGTCACCGGCTACCATGGGACTGCATCTCCTCACGATGCTCCACTGCCTTGTGGATAAGATCTTCAGGTCGAAGGCTCGGGGTGTGGTCCCCTAAGAAAACCACCTGCTTCGGTTTGGGCACCCGAGCAGTATCACAGCCCTCACACAAATCAATTGAGATTTGTGTGGCGCATATGTATTTGATGCCTCCCTGTACCTATACTTATGTGTTAAAATAAATAAATAAATCAATAATAAACAATGATTTCTCTTATTCATCTTGTCTTGATCTGACTACTTCCAACTTTTTCCAAACCTACTTATATGTCAGCTAGCATTTCGCGTCCAGGTATGTAATGGCTATTTGTAGGTATTATCTATAGATGTATAAAAAACGAAACAATCCAATTAGTTGCGTTGTTATTACAATTTGATAGTTTCCTCAGAAATTGGTAGATCATATATTAAATTATTTCCTGACTTTAAACATTTTGATGAGGATACTGTTAAGCCTCATATGCCCCCAAACGCCCTGTTACGGCCAAGAGTGGGGAGAGTCCGCTCTCCCTCTCGAAATACTTTCACATGGCCACGCGTATACAGCCTCTGCCAGGGAAGTCCTACTCACTGCCTTCTCGTGGCATTACTGTTGTTTACGAAAATGAGAGGACGAAAAAAGAATGTCCGGCGCTTTAAGCGGATCCCAAACCAATGGTGCACATCGGCTCCAGTATCTTGAAGGAACAAATGGCGTATGAACCAATCGTTGGTCACCGGCTACCATGAGACTGCATCTCCTCACGATGCTCCACTGCCTTGTGGATCATATCTTCAGGTCGAAGGCTCGGGGTGTGGCCCTCTAAGAAAACCACCTGCTTCGGTTTGGGCACCCGGGCAGTACCGCAGCCCTCACACAAATAAAATGAAAATTTGTGTGGCGCATATATATTTGGTGCCTCCTTGTAGCAATATCTATGTGTTAAAATAAATAAATAAATAAATAAATAAATAAATAAATAAATAAATAAAAATAAGCCTCATATCCCGAAGTTAATTTGTCCATCTATAATATATTAATAATTATAGTAATGCAGCAATACAACTCAGTAACAAAACAAAAATTAATGTAATTAAATCTATTATATGACGGATAGTGATACCTTTTGACTGGTTACGTATGGGTAAATGGAATTTTAGACCCATGATTTACAATATTGAAATCCGCAGTCTTAACCAACAAGTCCTAGCCCTATTATTATTATTATTTCATTATTTGAACACATAGATACTGGTATAAGAACGCTCCGACTACATATGCACCACACAAATCTCATTTGATTTGTGTGAGGGCTGTTGATACTGCTTGGGTGACAGACCGAAGGTGGCTTTCGTTGGGGCCCACACTCGGAGCCTTTGACCTAAAGATCTGATCCACAAGGCAGTGGAACAACGTCAGGAGATGCAGTCTCATGGTAGCCGGTGACCAACGATTGGTTTACACTCCATTTGTTCCCTCAAGATACTGGAGCCCATGTGCACCATTTTTTGGGAATCAGGGTTTTCCAACTCCCCTAGGTGGACTCTCCATATCCACCAACCCGGTTAAGGCACCGGATATTCGCTTTTCGTCCTCTCAATTTCGTAAACAACACCCCCGCCAAGAGAAGGTAGTAAGTAGGTTCCATTAGTTAACAATAATTTCTACACAATCGGCTCGACAATATATAAGAACTTTTAAGCTAGGCAGTTATGGGGTGTCACTAGTGAAAATAAGCAACTTAGAGGAACAAGTTGATACTACAAACTTACTACAGCCTTAGCAAAATCATGAAGCTTCGTAGCATGTGATTAGTTCTTAAAACTGTATTTGAAGATTATGAAGAGTTATAGCACATGTGGACGACTTTGATGGAGCTTCTCTCTTCACCTCAGATGAGTTCAAAAAAATTAACTAAAATTGCTGATTCACACCATATATAAATGCGTTTAGGATATTATAGCTGGCTGTCTTACAGGAAAATAGGTCAAAAAAACGGGAAATACACTATCTATATTACTAATAAATGTACATACATTAATTAGTGTAAAAATAACCATTTGGAAATGTTGAAAACAGAAACTGAGTCTAACTTCGAATGTTTGCCAAAAGCGAAATTCGTCGCATAAAAGTAATCTCTGTGATGACCAGCAAACTTACTAATTTTCGCTAAATGTCTCACTCTCAGGTAATGAATGAAAGACTTAACTAAAACCCCTATCTCTCCAGATACACCAAAGTATGAAGTATAGGAAACGTTTTACCCTCGGCCAATGGAGGCAAATTAAGACAATGATGTATTGTACACAACCAATATGTGATGGGTTAAGGTGAAATATGATCAATGTCACACATAAGAACTAAGCTTAACAAGTATTGAGAACCACCACGCATAATCCTTGGACGTGTTGCTGAATTTCATTCTACATTATGACTATCAGGACATTTAGACGACTGGCATCTTGAATGCTAATAACGTCAGGGAAATGATGTTAAGCAAGGAAAGCGAAAGAAATATAAAGAAATTACATGGGTAAAGTTAATAGTAAAAATTAAAAGATAAAAGTCTACTATTAAAATTGGTTCTTGGTAATATGATATTGATGCCTGAAGTACATGGACTTGAGGAGTATAATTTTTTTTTGAGTCTTCCAACAGCTTGGAAACGCTAAAGGAATCAGTCATCAATCAACAAGACAAATAGAAAAGGAGTTCAAATAGTCGTAGAATCAGTAGTAAATGAATTTGGGCACTAAATTGTCAGCTTTGAAATAGACGGAATCTTTGGAAACTATGCGTCTACACTGCCTAGACAAGTCACACAGTAATATTTGACATCTATAATACAACAGCTTTGTTACATAAATTAATCCAACTTTCTACTTGCCGTGATATATATGATAAAATTACAAGTTCCTAAGTTGGACAAACCCAAAGACTTCATCTATACCACTAAATGTACTATAGTAACGAAGATTGTAGGAATCCTTTTATATAGGTTTGTTGAGTAAATTCTTAGAATGGACTCTATTAAAGCTCTGCATGCAGCGAAACTACTTGACAATAGGAAGTTCTTGACCATGGAAATAGAATCGTTCAAAAAATACATAACATAACCTAAAACAACTTTGTATGCAGGGTTTCGAAGCAGAATCCAAGTTGTAGATAATCAAGTGAAGTCATAATACATATCGCTTATGACACAGAAGCAAGGAAACTCAGCTTAAAGATCGTAATTGAAGACTTTATATTTCTTACCAGGATAAAATTCATCTTGTTTTGATATCTTGACTTTTGTATTAGTATCCTTTTGAATTCGGCCGATGGCTTCGCCAGACTTCCCAATGACTGCCCCAGCAGCAATTGATGGAACCAAGATTTTCAGCTGGACATTATCCTCTTTAATACGAAACATAGTTTTTACCGATCATAAACATGAATTGTCACATAGAAAACAAGTTTGAAAAACTTACCACAGTTTGGACGTTTCGGACTAGTATCTGGGTCCATATCTTTCTCCCGAGGTCTTTTCCTGGAATCGCTGCTGTCATCAGAGCTTGAGTGACTTCCTGACATTCTGTTAACAACAGACTAATAGTAGTGCAAAGTAAATGCTTAATCTCTTGACATCACGTAAGATTAATTTTAGGGGCTGTAACGTCTGACTTGAAGCCAGCTCCAACAGAAGAGAGTCTTCAATTTTCGCATGTCAAAAACATCCGACGATATTCTTCACTTCCCGTGTTCATGATAACAAAACATAAATTGCAAAAAAAGAATGTCTGAACTTTGACCTTCAGTCCATGCAGGAGAATATAAACATCTTCACAGAGTCTCATGTAGGCCGGATGATAGAACCGGAATACCCCATATACTATCATTAACTGCCTTATCCAAAATTATACGTTTGGTACAATATGGAATTCTTAGAACACAATGTTTCGACAGGGTTCGCCTGCAAGATCACAAATCAATCGATAACTGTATACATAAGTAAACGCACTATTTAAAAAGAATAGTGGTATTTCTCCTCACTGAGTTAATTTTGTTGCCTTGATGGCTTATTGCGCATCAAGACCACTGTTTTAGCTTCAATCGAATTTATTTCAGGTAAAGTAGTCGTCAAGATTATCGTTTTCTCATAAGTAATTTACCATCTGGACTTGAATACATTAGTTCTTCCTTTACTTGTTGCACGTTTTTTCTCTTTTCTTAAGGTCACCACTTTTGTCTTTGGGTGTTGTTTTCGTTCAGTTATTTTTTTGAAAGCCTCTGATTGATGACTATACAGTGCTAAAAAGCAATTGTCAGCGTCTGGATTGTTGGTACTTTGTGGAAAGTGGCATACAGTGCGGTGAATGTGAAGGATGGTACCACGAAGTTTGCACGAACCTATCACCTGAGGCTTTTAAACAGCTTAGTAGAGGTGGTAGCATGTGGTTGTGCAAGCAATGCTGCTCGAACGCGGACAGCGCGCTATCCAAAAACCATTGCAGTAGTGAATGCTAGTAACAGGAAATAAGAAAGCGCAATTGAGGTTCATCAAATGGTACTCAATCCGTCGGTACACAAATGCATGTGAAGTTACATCAAGTAAGCTCCGAGTCCGCCGACGAGCACGGACTTCGCATTGACTTCAAAGATGTCTGTTAGAGATGAAGGAAGGAAAATCCTTCTGTCCCTTGCCCTTCAAATATCAACAGGCAGGAACACCTATAAAACATAGTAGCGAAGCTGGGTTGGTTTCTAGCAGGAAAAACAACAGCCTGACCACCCAAACCATCAACATCCATCTAGCATCCCACAGTTTTTGTAACTCAACTGCGATTGCTATTCCAACGAAAGTTGACGAAGGTTACGGATCATGAATAAGAACCGACTTAGTGTTAAGGAAAAGCCGGTCTCCCAGACAGTAGTCGAGGGCTTAAAGGTTGATCGTAGTGACAGGTCAGTTGAAGGGTCAGAACCCAAAACTCGCTTTGAGCGATTGGTTAATAACAGATTTGTTTAACCAGCTAACGCCTAAACATCTTGATTAGATCAATGAATAACACATCTATTTGAGCACTGCTATCTTCATCTACATTTCCAACCTCTCTTGCAATGAGGAGAATAGTCAAGCACAAGTGCGCTTCACTGAAATTATGTTGTCTCCCTTCTTAAACATTATTCCCTTCCACACAGTTTGCAACAGCCGTACAAATAATCTTCCCCCATTAGTTTGACAAATACAGCGGTAAGACTAATAGGTCGATAGTAAAAAACCAAGTCTTAACTACCCACCACATAAACCAGACAGATAAGTGTGTCCTTCCAGTCTCTTGAGAGTTTAGACTGCCTAAAAGACAATATCAATAATAATAATATATTCTAAAAATACTAGTTACAGAATTCATGCCAGCTCACAGGCATGATCAGCCTCATATAAATAGTAACATTAAATGTAAAGAACACATATATGATACAAGGTTGACTTAAGTTTACTAGTTCAAAAATTGTTTAGGTAGTACATTGATGGCATGTATTGCAGCAATGCAATCTATCGGCCGAGAACTTTTAATTCTTCTTAAGTGAACATCCTGTCTATTTGTAAACGGTGCATTTGAGGTCATTTCCTGTGCTATAATGAATTGAATATAATCATCTTCAACAAGAGAAAAAACGAGAGCACCGAAAAACAAAGTAATAATTACTAAAATATGTCAATCAGGTCTAACATAATGCATGTGTCATGTGACTCAGTTATATACTGTTGATGTTAGACATTATTCAAATTATTCAGGGTTACCAGGGACGGTGATAACGCTAAGTAACAGCAGGTAGGTGGTTTACTTAGTGAATTCACTAAGTAATTCAAATACCATTTCAAACTTTTAACAATTACAACCGACAGGGCTTTGGTGATGCTGGGATAAATATCTTAAGGACCAGTGGAGTTATATGGTTTGAGATGTTGATGTATTCACACGACACTTTCCTTCTCAAAAACGCAAGATCCGTCGACAAGCCGCATTCATAAGAACTAGTTGTTGGTCCTCACGATAGTCGGTAGGAAACACGTTACCAAAACATTTTGATAAGCCTGATAACATCGCTTCTTCACAATGTTCAAGTATTTTCCTTTACCAAAAACAGGAGATTTGTTTCTGTAGAAAATTAAAATATCGGGGAACCACATATAAACTGTTATTATATAGAGAATTTTATAGTATAAAAACTTAGCAACTAAATTATATATATTTATGTTTCTTTAAACATAAGATTTCATTTGGTGTACTGGCTACTCTTATACAGTCTACCATTTCTAGTTTATTCCCTTTTTTTTAGCTTCAGCCTCCCATACTCACAACCACTTTTGGCTTGGTCTTGTTATTCTTAATTTTATGGTGTGATGCGTTCTGGTCTGTTCGTATATACACCACGTGTGTCTGAAGTATGTTATTCATACAGTGGAGGCGAAGATTGTGTTCTGAACTGAACGGGCTGGGTTATGTTACAGAAGCTACTATTATCTAGAACCAATAAGGAGTAGGACAGGGATAAGGTCATACAAGTCGGTATTCTGATTGACGATTTAGTCACGCGATAAATGAGATAGCACTGGTCATAACAGCGAGGTACCAATTATTCTCCGGTTTCAACTCTTCAGGTAAGTGAACATCCTTTTCAGACTTTTTGCAATCTCTATACAATTATTCTTTATAACAAAGTTTAGCCTTGCTTATCAACGCTTTGCTTCGTGATCTTAAACTAAATGGATTCATACTGTTTAGAGCATGTAGAGATAAACATACACTGATACCTCTTCATAAGTGTTAGGAGTTTCTTTACCTGTTCGATTATCCATGGTGTACGATTGTTTGGTCTACGTTGTACTATGCACGGCAGAAACAGGGACGTTACTAGGTTAAGGTTATCCGGAAATCTGGATCATGCATCTCCAAATGATGAGCCAACATTTACTGACCATTTTACTTTATACTGAATGTGATCCAAAATAAAGTTATCAGCTGATCAGGTAGGGCTACAATGGATGACACCGAATATAAATGTACAACCTCCAAATGTGGGTTCACAGTTGCTGACTTCACAAGTTATATCATGATATTCAGAAACAAATACATGGACTTTTACGTCATTAGTTATGCAGACAAGGAACCTGTCACATTTCCTCCATCCATTTCTATCAGTTCTTATATGACTGTACGCCAATAATTCTGGAGTTACATCAAAGTCCTAGACTAACCAAGTCTAGGTCACAGATATGATGAGTGGCTTGAATTCATCCGTCGATACTCTCAGTTTATGGGATTTGTCTCTTAGACTACGAGTGTTTATATAAGACTCTTAAACAGAACAATCTATGCATACAGGCCTTGATATAATTCGCTTATAACACCTGTGTACTCGAAAATCCAGCAAGCGTTTAGTCTAGTCTTACTTAGAAGCTTTGGCAGAGTATTCTTCAATTTAAAACGGTAGACCAACAAAGGACTACCAACTAAGCAGGCGCTTTTTGTAGGGCTAGCATTTTCTGTTACAGAACCGCCGTCTACTTCCAGCCACTCGGTACAACAAGATCGTGACGTCTTGGGACGGTGATGGTTTTATCCCGATCTTGATAGACTACTCTGTGATTGCAACAACCTACACCTAGTATTACGTTTTCATGCCTGTAAGTAACCTTCGTTCTATTGATAAAGGAGACCAAACTAGTAGAGGATAGGTCATTATGTGGCTTGTGGACGGCACACAGTGGAGCACGAGGTTTGTTGTTCAATGATACATAACTTTTCAGCACTCAATATAAGATAAAAAATATAATTCCTACACAAAATAAGAAAGTGAATCAATAGTTGAGCCCTATAGTTTCGGCAAATATATTTAGATGTTTGATGCCATCTCTTAACCAATCCACTTCTGTTGTTGCAACCTCACTTTTGTTTGTTTCCCTTTACCATATTTCTCTTCGTCCGTAAAAATACTTACTTTTCAAGCATATTCTTGTGCCAGACTCAGTTTGTCATTGCAGCTTGGAGGCCCGCCAACTCTTGGATCAGTAATGTCTTACTCTAACAGTAAAACTTAAAAAGCCAGTGGGAATTAGGTTCCTAACATTTCTATTTTACAGTGAGTTTCAAACAAGTACACAAATTTAGGAACCTGTTGTGGCATTTATCATATTTACCATCTTTATCTGCAGGAAAGAAATAGTTGGGTTGTTCACATTTATAAGCAAAGCCGACCACTGTATGCTGGTTTACGAGAGGAAG